TAAATATACATTAGGAATAAAAGTGTCAAGTTTATAAAATAAACCCATCTTTTTGGTCGAGTATCTTAACAGCGACATTTACTCTGTGATTGAAGAGTATACTCGTCATCGCTCGATTTCGGCGACACATATAGGTGCGCGCTCGCAAAAGGGGGCGTCACAGCTAACTGGTTAAAGACTTTTAAAAACGTAGTTACGCTGTAAAAAATTGCGCATGTTTAAATGAAATATCTTTAAATAATATTCATAAAATTCATGCACTTTTAGTATATAAGATTATACTAAAATTACGAATTTAGTTGATTTAGTATTGCTAATTTATTCCCATTTTAGTACGCAAAAAAAAATGTATTGCTCTTACAGTTTTTCGAAAAACTGTGGCGATGCCAGCTTTATATTAAGCTAGCATTGCCACATTATAAAAACAATAACACAGCAAATGTTGATAACCGACGTATACGCCTGAATTTATTGCTAATTAATTGCTCCCAAAAAAAACCAAACTTCAATTGTTTTACTCAGACCCAAAGGAGTATGTAAGCACCCCTAGTGCCGGAAACAGCAAGGCAACATGAAAACGGTGAGAAAAGACAGATTTCTTCGAAGGAGATTTCATTGCTAATTAATGCTCCCAGAAGAACCCAATTTCGAATTTTTTGCACAACCCCTAAAGAAGTACTCCAACCCTTAAAACATCACCTTAACATGGCTACGTAAAATTGAGAGTAATGACTGGTTTCTTCATGGAGGAATTAATTGATAATTAATTGCTCCCAGAAGAACCCCATTTCGAATTTTTTGCATAACCTCTAACGCGTTAGTCCAACCCCCAAGACATCACCTCAGCATGGCCACACAAAATTGCGGGAATCGAACGATTTCTTCACGTAGGAATTAATTGCTAATTAATTGCTCCTAGGAGAACCCCAATTCGAATTTGTTGCCCAATCCCTAAGGCGGTACTCCAACCCTTAAGACACTACCGTAACATGGCCATATAACGTTGTAGGGTAATGAATGATTTCTTCTTTTATGTGCCCACGCTACGGTGGAGTCTTAACCCTTTCGGTACGAGCGCCGGATATATCCGGTATCCATCTGATGACCTGTGTGTACAAGCGCCGGATATATTCGGCATTCATGTGACAGCCTGTATGCATGTGCTATGTGTACATTTTCGGAGCGGCGCCTCGTACAGCGGGAGTGTCTCGGCGGACAGAGCGCTCGTACTGAAAGGGTTAAGGGTTGGAATACCGGCTTAGGGGTTGTGCAAAAAATTCGAAATTGGGTTCTTATAGGAGCAATTAATCAGCAATTAATTGCTACGTGAAGAAATCGTTCGATTCCCGCAATTTTGTGTGGCCATGCTGGGATGATGTCTTGGGGGTTGGACTACCACGTTAGGGGTTGTGCAAAAGATTCAACATGTTCTTCTGGGAGTAATTAATTAGCAATGAAATCTCCTTTGATGAAATCAGTCTTTTCTCACCGTTTGCATGTTGCCTTGCTGCTTCCGGCACTAGGGGTGGTGACATATCCCTTTAGGGGTGAGTAAATAAATCGAAGTTCGGTTTTTTTGGGAACAATTAATTAGCAACAAATTCGGGCGTATACGTCGATTATCAACATTTGCTGTATTATTGTTTTTATAATGTGGCAATGGTAGCTTAATATAAAACTGGCATCGCCACAGTTTTCGAAAAAGTATAAGAGCAATACATTTTTTTTTGTGCAATAAAATGGCAATAAATTTTGCAACAAATTTTATTGAATTGTGCTAAAGTGGCAATGCCAGCTTTATGTACATCTACTACGAAGATGGATGAATCGTACTCTTCTATCATAATACGGTTGGATAATTTGTACCACACATGAAAAGTGAAATCAAAGCACGGCTCTGAACATATAAGTAAAATCCGAAAAGTAATTGATTACATAAATTATATTTTGCCACAAAAAATGAGTACATAGAATTTAGTAGATTTTATATTAATGCATTTTTTATTTTCTACACTTTAATGGCTTTTCACGGATGATCATACTGCACACTTCCTTTTTGATGCGGCTTCTAAAAAGAATAATTTTTATTAAAGGGTACGTTTATAGATAACCGAAGTTTTGACTTAAATAAACACAGTTGGTTACTAAGTTAATTGTACCGGCACGAATTACCCAATTAAGCGGTGGTATAATGTTGGTGACCAGGAGTTGTTTTGAGTTTTATAATTTTTAGAGCGTCTGTTTGAGGTGCAAAAAGTTATGCATGGATTTGCATGTAAATTAAATGAAATTTTTAACGATTACTAGTGACAATGTTTGAACGTACCTCACATGGTTGATGTCGGTTGAAAACAAAGCCGTAAAATTAGTAACACGTTAGCAAACTAATATAATATGCCTCTGACTTTAGTATTCACTAGTGCAACCGCCAAATAGTTAGATATAAGCAAACGACGCAAGTTTAGGTTCATAATTTTTCAGTTAAGGTGAAGTGAAACACGTCGAGGAACTTGATCGACGTCGATAAAGAAGATTTTTGTAAATGTCTCCGTTGTCGACGTTCGTTTTTATATTGACAGCTGTGTCGAATTATATTGGGTATTGTACCAAATGGCATACTCCACCTGTCGTTTTCGTACAATAATTAAAAAGGAAATCGAAGTAAAACTCCAGAAGTTCCTTGAATTCATGATTTTTGATGCCCTACTTGACTGCAGAGGGAACCCCTGCGCCATCTGTGATTTCCAGGTCAATTAAATTTTCACAACGAGACCTCGTATTCCCATCGTTTTGGCATAGAAGCGCATACAACACTTTTATTGCCTTTATCCCGGTCAAATGCGAGTTTATCGATTACTAGAGTGTTCTAAATTGTCGTAAAATTGTCCTGACCCTTTCATTTCTCATATCAGAGCCTTCAATAATTGGATATTGCTTGAAACATGAGAGATCGATGCCATTTTGGTCCTGGTCTGGGCTGAGTTAACAAATTTTCTCCAAAAATTCAAATTTTGAATGTGTCAAGACAATTCTTAAACGATCACGAGTCATGTGACAAAGTTTCGAACAGTTTGGCCCAGTACCCTTAAGGTGAAGTGAAACATCCTTCAAATCAGTCGATTCGAATACAACACTTTTTTTTAAGGGTATTAGACCAAACTGTCCGAAACTTTAACACATCACTCCTGATCATCTAAGAATTGTCCTGACACATTCAAAAATTGGATTTTTCAAACAAATTTTTTAACTCAGTCCAGACCAGAACCAAAATGGCGTCGAGCTCTGATATTTCGATGGATATACAATTATCGAAGGCTCTAATATGAGAATCGAAAGGGTCAGGACAATTTTACGACAATTTCGAACACTCTGGTAATCGATAAACTCGCAATTGAACGGGATAAAGGCAAAAAAAGTGTTGTATGCGCTTCTTTGCTAAAACGATGGGAATACGAGGTCTCGGAGTGCAGATTTAATTGACCTAGAAATCACAGATGGCGCAGGGGATCCCTCCGCAGTCAATTAGGGCCCCAGAAGGCATGAATCCAGAGGATTTCTGGAGTTTTGCTTCGATTTCTTTATAACTATTGTACGAAAACGACAGGTGGAACATACCATTTGGTACAATACACAATATAATTCGACCCAGCTATCAATATAAAACCGAACGTCGGCAACGTAGGCATTTAGAAAAATCTTCTTTATCGACGTTGATCAAGTTTCTCGACGTGTTACACTTCACCTTAAGAAAAGTGTTGTATTCGAATCGATTGATTTTAAGGGGATTTCACTTTACCTTAAATGGCTATTTCTTAACGTATCTTCTTAAATATTGTAATGGTTCAAATAACAGTCGCGAAAATGTCAAAAAAGCTGGCCAATACCTCGTAAATGAAATTTGTATTTTGAGATTATCGATTGTTAGACTGGGTAGAGGGATAATTCGGATATTTATTGCTAAAAGGACGAAAGCGTAATTGTGTACGGTTCTGCACGTCAATTTAAAACTGATATTCGTACGGGTTACTAACATCGGTCTCTAAGAAGGAAAATTATATTAAGTGTAAGTAAGCGTGATTTTTTTAAAGAAATGTCTCTTTCCAATTCCGTAAATTATAGGATATTGTAAACGAATCGTAGAATATTTTATGACTTTTAAAGTTTCTTTTGTATTAGTTGAAACGTTTTAAATATCGCATGTAATCATTCCTTTATTCCAACGAGATATTCTTACACTTTATTTTCAATTACTGATAGTACATACAGTTATGAGTATCGTGATATTCCGCGATGTTCCAAACGAGAATCATTAGCTTATCCTATTCTTCGTTAAAATAAAAAAGAATTGGCAACCTATATCTGCCGTTCTTGTTGTACGATTAAAATGAAGTAAGATATCTTCATAATGCACGTTGTTGGTACCACGATTGCACTTTTGAAAGAGCAAGAAATTATTTCTAATTAAAGATCTTCCTTTACTATATCTTCCTTTTTTTTGCGCTTATTATGTTTAACGCGCGTACAGTTTTACATTTAGCAACGTAGTTTTAGAAGTAAAAAAATGTGCAAAACAACGATAAAATATGTAATTTAAAAAACCTAGAACTTTACTTTTATTATCAATACATTTCGTTAGCGCGATGCTTGTTTAATTTTTCATCTCTTATATTATTTCTTCTGAATCGTTTAAAATGTAAGGTAAAAGTGATGAAATATAATATTAGAATACGATGTCACATTTAGGCGGACAAATAGTTTGGACCAATTTTTTCGTCATTTTCGCCACTGTGCGACGGTACCATATCCCCTACTCTAGCATTTAATCGGCATGCTTGCTCATTGCGAATTCTCCTAGGTTGAAAAGTCTAAATATAGATTTGTAGGTTTTTTGTATCTCTAATGGAGACTACAGATCACGTTGGCGCGTAAATCGGGTAAGGCCAGCTGCCCGGTACACAGTACCGAGTAGGAAAACTGTGCCAATGAAGAGAAGCGAGCAGGGGTAGAGAATGAGTTAAAGGGCGAGAGAAAGAGCGCGCAAGGGGGAGGGGGGGGGGCGAAGTGAGGTAGGAAGAGAGGAAGGAAGGGAGGAGAAGGTGCGAAGGGGGAATACTGTAAAGCGCAAGCGTGGCACCGTGTGGCGCGTGTTAGAAGTTGGCTCGAAACTCGGGTTTAGTCTCTTCCGTCCCTTTGTCCGTTCTCGTCCCTGCCGAGTTCTTCGACTAAATCCCGTCGGACACACGTGTTGCGCCACTGAAAAACGACGGACTTGAACGGATTGTTTTCACTTCAACTTAGGACGACTAGAAAGAGAATTATGTACGAAAAGAGGTATTGGGTTGTCCAGAAAGTTATTGCAGTTTTTAGTGTTTAAGGTTATGTGAAAGTGGCATGTAAGAGATTTCGTGTATGACACTACAGGTAACCCTCCTACAACACGGCATCCTATAACACGGTTTCGCTATAACGAGTCATTTTTCTTGAATACAGACCCTTCCACGGAAAGAAGTCGAAAATTCAAAAGGGAGCTGCAAAACTGTTTATCTCCATACCGCGAAATTTACAATGACCTAGTAAAAGTCAGCAAGCAAAGTTCGATTACAGATTTTTTTAAGAGGGGAAAAGATATAAAAACTTTAAATAGAGAACAAAGTTCTGAAAGTGAAGGCGATATCGTTCCACCGAAAAAACGTTCTCGGTTGATTATACTGAGCAGTGACGACGAATAAATTCATTAAATTATGGTTGCGTTAGATTAAAATATTTTTTTTATACTTTGTGTTGTACATACATTTATATTTTTAATAAAAATTAAGTTGTTTATGTCGAATTCAAAAAAAATATTTGTTTTTAATAAGTTTTTGGAACGTAACCCCCCTTTTTATACTAGCTCTGGGTCTCATGCAACACGGTTTCACACAACACGGCATTTTCTAGGAACTTAACTACCGTGTTATAGGAGGGTTACCTGTATTTTCCGAAGTAAGTGTACCGAATCGTTTAAAACATAACAATGTTAATGTGGAGGTGCTATGGAAGGACCTGGCAGTCATGAAATTACAATTTTTTAAAATTTGTTTACGGATGTATTCAACATTTTTTATAAAAAATGCAGTTTTATGATTCTCAGGACTTTCCTTGTACCCCCCATGTTCACATTGTAAAGTTTGAAATTATTCTGTTTATCTAATTCGGAGAAAAGTATCATGAACGATTGAGTCCTCAGATGGGACTTTCACATCCCCTTAAGGTGATATGAAAAGGTCATTCAATATATATACTACGTCAAGATATTTAAAGAAAAACTTCTTGCCAAATGGAGTGTTCCGAATCATTTGAAACTTCTGCTCGTGATTGTGAAAGTCTTAAGGAAGAACGCGTCGCTGTGTAAAGTTTAATATTTAAAAAACAGTTTTATTTTATTGATCCCAGACTAGAACCAAGGACACATTTTTTGTTGAAAACTGAAATTTCATGAAGTTCTTGAGTTCTTTCTTAGGGCCAAAATAATCACGTGCTGAAGTTCAAAATGATTCGGTGCACTCAGTTTGGAGAGAAGTTTTATAAATATTTTGACGTTTTATCTATACAGAATGACCCTTTTATATCACCTTAACTTTTTGACTGCGAATGACGTATAAGTACGTACAAAATGTTGTCCTCTATTTCCTGTTCGTATTCACGAATTTCACCTATCCGTCGAAAGGATTTAGCAGTTATAGGTTATAGATGAAGTGAAACACGTCGAGAAATTTAATCGACATCGATAAATGAAATTCTTCCAAATACCTACACGCCCGACGTATGTATTTATATCGACAACTGTGTCAAATTATATTGGGTATTGCACTAAATGGCATACTCCATATGCCGTTTCCGTACAGTAATTATAAAGAAATCGAATTAAACTCCAGAAGTTCCCTGGATTCATGATTTTTGATGCCCTATTTCACTGCAGGGTGCCACCTTGCGCCATCTATGATTGCAGTTTCAATTAAATTCTTTTCCGAGACCTCGCATTACCTTCGTTTTAGCAACGAAGCTCATAAGACACTTTTCTTTCCTTTATTTCGTATAAATACGAGTTTATCGATTACCAGAGTGTCCTAAATTGTTGTACAATTTCTGTCGTTCTTGCTTCTCATATCAGTGCCTTTAACAATTGTATATCGATCGAAATATGAGAGTTCGATACTATTTCGGTTCTGGTTTGGACTACGCCAAAAATTCTTCCTCGAAAATCTAAATTTTTTAAATAGAATAATTCTTAAGTGCTCACAAGTTATGTGTCGAAGTTTGAGACAGTTCGGTTCAATACCCTTTAAAAAAAGTGTCTTATTATAATCGACTGACTTAAGGGAGGTTTCATTTCACCTTAAGGGGTTGTGAAGGTGGCATCTGAGGAGCCAATCGTTCATGAAACTTTTCTCCGAACGGGAGTATAGAATTATTTCAAACTTTAGAAAGTGAATGTGGAGGCCATAAGGAATGTTCCGATACCCATGAAATTTCACTTTTTAATATACAACTCTGAAAATATCATTAAACAAATTTTAAAAAAAGTTGAAATTTCATGGGTGTCGGGACCTTCCTTCTAATCTTCAAATTAACGTTGTAAAGTTTGAAACGATTCGATAAACCCAATTTGGAGGAAAGTTTCATAAACGAAACTTCATTGTCGCCTCTTTGACATTACCTTAAGGGACCTCCCTAGTGTTGAAAATCGCCAAAATAAATCTTTCCGATTGAGTAAAAGGAACTTTTTATAAACAAGAGGAAATTGCCTTGTATAACACTGGAATATCTGATTAGCTGTATGTTTATAAATTATATTGTGTATACGTAAAACTTGAATTCTTTTTTTCTCGAAATAACATGTTTCAAAATGGTAACAATAATATTTCAAAAACTGATAGTCAAATCCGCTTTAAAATATGCCGGTGTATTCAATGGATGTATAAATCTTATTAAAACTACATTTTTCAATTAATGCAAAATGCGACTCAAGAAGTGAACCATTCTTTTGTATGGAATTAAATGATTTCCTACAAAATGCCGCCGTTTTTATGTTCTTCGATATTTTTAAATAATCCTAGTTCCAACGATAGCCGTACTCGTGTAGACCGAGCTTCTTTTTGTTTTTTTTTTTCGGTTTCAGAGTTTTATAACAGCTAATTTTGTGATTATCATCGAAAAACTTGTTTTTTTGGGACATTCCAGCAGGTTACTTATTACGTCGGAATAATTCAATAGTTTTACTTGAGGGTGACTGTATGGTCTTAAACATAGTTACATATGTACATCAAGTTTCAAATGAATAAAACGTATATTTCCTCTTCAATTCCAAAAGATCATCTTATTTATTGGCCATCAACATCCTTTGAATTGACTCTTTTATAAAAACCCTCAAAAAACAAATAATTTTCAATAATTCAATACAAGAGAACCAAACATTATAAGGTAAATAACTTCGTCTTTTAGTAATACATGTTTAAATGACTAAGGGAAATGATTTTGTCTAGTTTCATTAAATATATTACCACTCAAAATGTATAACATTCATTGTAACATTACATTAAGAGAATAAGAACTGGTAAACTGAATAATTGAACACTGTTAGTATTTTTTTGGTAACAGGAATACAATTTATTGTTCGATTGACTATAAATTAATTGCTGCATCTATTTTTTATCAGGTGAAAATACTACTGGTTATTTGTATGATTTTTATAACAGCAGCATCAACATTTTTAGTCACATTTTTTCACAATTATTTTTATTTCACGCCAAATTCTAAACTTTTCCAACCATTACTGAAGGTTTTGTTCAAATTAGTTACAACATTAAAAATACAACACTTATAATGAGAAACGAGAGCACCAGACATTGTACAACAATTTAGGACACCCTGGTATTCGATAAACTAGTATATATATGAGACAAAAGAAAGAAAAGTGTCTTATGAGCTTCTTTGATAAAACGAAGGTAATGCGAGGTCTCGGAGAAAAAATTTAATTGGCACTGCAATCACAGATGGCGCAAGGTGGCACCCTGCAGTCAAGTAGGGCATCAAAAATCATGAAGTCAGGGAACTTCTGGAGTTTTACTTCGATTTCTTTATAATTACTGTACGGAAACGACATATGAAGTATGCCATTTAGTACAATACCCAATATAATTCGAAACGGTTGTCAATATAAATACGAACGTCGGTAACGTGGGACTAAGAAGAATTTTTTTACCGACATCGATCAATCTCGTCGTGTTTCACTTTACCTTCAATTCTTAATTAAATAATCTTAATAAAACAGACATTAATATTTAATGTACAATTATTGTTATCACAACATAGAACGAATTTTCCGTTTTAAATTTGGGTATAGTATGGACATAAAGGAAAAGCAAGTTGATTTAAAAACAGTATGAAATCCTTTGACTATACATGTAGGTATAGATTGCTAGCAGCTCGTATTTTATCATGCATTGAGAGTTCGAAAAACGAGCCAAATATGAATCGTGGTGCAGGCCCGAGTCGTGAACGAAAAAGAAGGAAAATTCAAATATAATTATTTCGATTTAAATGAAGTAATCCATGAGGCTGGTTCTTTAAGGTGATGTGAAAGGGGCGTCAAAAGTTCTCGTTCGTGAAACTTTTCTCCAAATTGGGTCTACCGAATCGATTCAAACTTTACAATACAAAATATGAAGGCTATAAGGAAGGTCCTGAAGCTCATGAAATTTCAATTTCCTTTTAATTTCATCATATATATTTTTTAAATCTGTTATAAAAAATAAAATTTCACGAGTGTCAGGACCTTCCTTACAGTCTCCACGTGTTCACGTTGTAAAGTTTGAAACGATTCAACATACACAGTTCGGAGTAAAGTTTCATGAACGATTATCTCTTTACGTGTCATTTTCACATCCCCTTAAGAGGGTATGAAAGACGCTAAGAAATTTAATCGACGTCGATAAAGTAAAATTCATCTATACCCTTTTTGGTGGTAATGCCGTTTTGAATACTCAAGTGGTAAGATAAGCTGGCACGTCCCATTACCGACATTTATATTTATGTTGAAGTCTTTTATACTCTACGTTGAGAATTATATGAACTGAAGGGCTCTATATGCCATTTCGGTAAAGTAACGACAAAAATATCGATGTAAAACTACCGAAATCCCATGAAGTCATGGCTGTTTATATTTTGACGAACCAACGTCGCCATCTGGGACGTTTAGCGGCAACTAAACTTTTGCACTACAAACACGTGTTAGCCCCAAGACAAGCTAGCATTTCAATTGTTGGTGAAAATATTTTCCATATTTTCCCATCTAACTTCGTAATATTTCATTTCATCTACTCTTTTTGGTGGTAGTGCCGTTTAGAATACTCAAGTGGTAACATATGCTGGCACGTCGCGTTACCGACATTTACATTTATGTTAAAGTCTTTTACAGTCTACGTTAAGAATTATACGAACTGAAGGATTCCATATGCCATTTCGGAAAAGTAATGATAAAAAGATCGATGTGAAACTGCCGAAATCCCATAAATTCATGGCTGTTTATATTTTGACGAACCAGCGTCGCCATCTGGGACGTTTAGCTCCAACTAAATTGTTACTCGAAAAAAAACGTGTGAGCCGCAGGGCAATCCAGCATTCTCTTGCAATTTTTGGTGAAAGTATTTACCACATTTTCCCATCTGACAATAATATTCCATGTTTACGGTATTCTCAATTGTTCGAGCTAGGTTCTGAGACTCTACATTTTCGATTCTAAACCTCCAAATAGCGTAAAACATCAAAAACGTGCCCGGACCCCGCCATGTTGGTTCTAGTCCATGATAAGTAAATAAGTTTTTGATGAAAAATGAAATTTCATGGGTTTCGGGACTTATTTTACGGCCTTTATTTTCCCGTGGTAAAATTTGAAACGAATCGGTACCCCCAATTCTGAGAATACTTTCACCAACGATTTGACTTCTCAGGTATATATAGGCTGACTCTTTCATTTCCCCTTAAGTCAAACAGATACTAAAAAATAAGCTACGTTTGGAATAACTTTACCTCTAGGCATTTCCACTTGAGTTCAGAGCGGTAAGATGTTCCGAAATACGTAACGAAAATAATTTTATCGAGTAGCTGTCGAATCTCTCTTCCGAATGCTATTGCAACTACTACCTACTACTATTATTACCTAATTCTTAATATACTTTAAAATTCACTTCTAAACTTCGCGTTGTACGGAGTGTGAGAGTTTATAAATAAGATATCACTGAATCCGATCTGATCGGTTAACACGTTCCCTGCCAGACTGTTTTTTGAAGACTTTCCGTTCAGGCCGCGTGGGGCGTATACGCCCCACGATCAAATGAGCGCATCAGCAATAATATTAACACTTTAACGATCGCTCACACAACATGTGTGTGATAGCCGGAACAACCGTTAACGACCGCTCACACAACATGTGTGTGAATTGTTGTTGTTTTTTTGTTTTATGTTAACTTTTTCTTGAATTCAATAAAGTTCTTTAAAATTAATTCTTCAAAAATACTGCCGGCCCCTGGCGACGTTTGACTGCGTAGACGGGCGGTCGTTAAAGTATTAAGGTGAAGTGAAACACGTCGAGGAACTTGATCAACGTCGATAAAGAAGATTTTTCTAAATGCCTACGTTGCCGATGTTGGTTTTTATATTGACAGCTGGGTCGTATTATATTGGGTATTGTACCAAATGGCATATTCCACCTGTCGTTTTCGTACAATAATTATAAAGAAATCGAAGTAAAACTCCAGAAATCCTCTGGATTCATGCCTTCTGGGGCCGTAATTGACTGCGGAGGAACCCCCTGCGCCATCTGTGATTTCCAGGTCAATTAAATTTTCACTCCGAGACCTCGTATTCCCATCGTTTTAGCAAAGAAGCGTATACAACACTTTTTTTGCCTTTATCTCATTCAAATGCGAGTTTATCGATTACCAGAGTGTTCTAAATTGTCGTAAAATTGTCCTGACCCTTTCGTTTCTCATATCAGAGCCCTCGATAATTGTATATTGATCGAAATATCAGAGCTCGACGCCATTTTGGTTCTGGTCTAGACTGAGTTAAACAATTTTGTTGAAAAATCCAAATTTTGAATGTGTCAGGACAATTCTTAGATGATCAGGAGTGATGTGTTAAAGTTTCGGAGAGTTTGGTCTAATACCCTTAAAAAAAAGTGTTGTATTCGCATCGACTGATTTGAAGGATGTTTCACTTCACCTTAAGATGCCCATAATTGACTGCATAATGAATTTTTAAAAAATTCTTCTTTTTACAATGACAATACCAAATGGCTTGAACGGAAAGTTCAGCGTGCACGCGGCAGGGAACGTGTTAACCCCTTACCCCAAAATGGTATGTTTGCGTCTTTCTCACTGTTTTTACTCGGATATTATGTGTTAAGACAGCCTTTAACCAAGCAGTAGCGGTCCATTTTCCTTAATTAAGGGGATGTGAAAGTGTCATCTGTAAGCTCAATCGTTCATAAAACTTTTCTACGAACTGAGTATCTCAAATCGTTTCAAACTTTAAAACGTGAATATGGAGACCCTAAAGTAGGTCTTGAAACTCGCGAAATTTTATTTTTTATAAAAAATTTATTTAATATTTCCGTTCAAATGCGAGTTTATCGATTACCAGAGTGTTCTAAATTGTCTTAAAAATGTCCTGACCCTTTCGATTCTCATATTGGGGTTCAATGAGCGATGTACAGATAATGAAATATAATATTTCCACGTAGAATTTTCCGCTACATTGTTCAATGAGCGATGTACAGATAATGAAATCANACCTGTCGTTTTCGTACAATAATTATAAAGAAATCGAAGTTGTAAAGTTTCAAACTATTCGGTAAACCGAGTTGGGAGAAAAGTTTTATAAACGAAACCTCTTCGACGCCACTTTCACATCACCTTAAACGCGAATCTATTTCGTTGTGAATTTAGAACTCCGGGAATACAAAATCGCTAGTTCTGGGTCCTCGATGGCGCTGATATTTTAGCAACCTGTGTGAAGTTCGCAACTAGCAGTCTATACTTTCATAGTCAAAGATCAAATCTTAAACAACAAAAATCGCAATAACTTGCTGGATAACCTGATAGTTACCTCATGGTCCCTGCGTTCTTTGTGATCGTGGTGTGAGCAAGGTGACGGCAAATCACGAATCCGATTCAGCAGCAAATGGTCCACGAATTCTCTTATTCATTCGGTCCGAATAGGTTCGATACGTTTGTAACCCAAAGGTAAGGTTCCGTGAAAAAAAAATCGATGACAAAATGTTCGACGAAAAGTATCCCGTATGACGAAGTGTCTAGTAACAGTACATCCGATAACAAGAAATTCGAAAAAAACATATTTATACATTTGCGGGTAAAACATAACGCCCTAATGTGGAATATTAATTTCTTGAGATTATTATAAGAATGAAGAATATGAGCTGGGACAAATGATCGATTATATTGAAAGTATGGGAACGGGGCGGTCAAGTCGCAATTGTAAACAGCGAAGTAACCCAATTTATAATATTTTCACGTAGAATTTTCCGCTACATTGTTCAATGAGCGATGTACAGATAATGAAATATAATATTTCCACGTAGAATTTTCCGCTACATTGTTCAATGAGCGATGTACAGATAATGAAATATAATATTTCCACGTAGAATTTTCCGCTACATTGTTCAATGAGCGATGTACAGATAATGAAATCAGTGGATAGCATCTCGGATTTTACGAAAGAGTTCGCGTCAATCACGAAAAAAATGAGGCAATTTCTGAACGTACACCGGGAAGAATTGAACATAACTGAATTAAGATGATATGAAAGGTGCTGAAAAATCGAGGTCGATCAATTAAAATTCATCTCTACCCTTGTTGGTAGTAAGGTCAGTTTGCATACTCAAGTGGTAACATAGGCTGGCGCGTCGCGTTACCGACATTTTTATTTATGTTGAAGTCTTGTACAGTCCACGTTTAGAATTATACTAACTGACGCGATCCATATGTCTTTTCAATAAAGTAATCATATTTTCCCATCGGACTCTGTAATATTCTATTTCTATGGGATTCTAAATTCTTCGAGCTAAGTCCTCAAACTCTTCATTTTCGAATCAAAGCTTCCAAGAAGCGTAAAACAGCGAAAACGTGCACGGGCCACGCCATGTCGGTTCTAGTCCATGATTAATAAATAAATTTTTGATGAAGAATGAAATTTCATGAGTTTTGGGACCTACTTTAGGACCTCCATATTCATGGGGTATAATTTGAAACGAATCGGTATACCCAATTCGGAGGATACATTTACCACCGATTTGACTTCTCAGATGTATATAGGGCTGACTCTTTCATATCACCTTAACAGTAACACAAATTCAATCAGGGCTTCAGATGGTTAGACCAAACCATACGGGATATCGGAACTTTGTGACTCACTTAACACTAGAACGACAGGAAGATTTTTTTTGTATGGGATGAGATATTTGAAACAAGTCATTTCAACCCGACTTGGTAGTTCTAGTGTTAAAAGGAAATCGTTACAGCATAGGGGAGACCGAAGTCAGTTGTAACCATTTTTACATTTTTCATTCTGTAATTGACACTGAAAGATGACTCGAACGAACACACTCGAAAGGTGACTCTCAGTCATCACTGGCGACTTAAGGTGAAGTGATACACGTCGAGGAACTTGATCGACGTCGATAAAGAAGATTTTTCTAAATGCCTACGTTACCGATGTTCGTTTTTATATTGACAGCTATGTCGAATTAAATTGGATATTGTACCAAGTGGCATACTCCACCTGTCGTTTTTGTACAATAAATATCAAGAAATCGAAGTAAAACTTCAGAAATCCTCTGTATTCATGCTTTCTGGGGCCTTAATTGACTGCAGAGGGACCCCCTGCGCCATCTGTGATTTCCAGGTCAATTAAATTTGCACTCCGAGACCTCGTATTCCCATCGTTTTAGCATAGAAGCGCATACAACACTTTTTTTGCATTTATCCCGTTCAAATGCGAGTTTATCGATTACCAGAGTGTTCTAAATTGTCTTAAAAATGTCCTGACCCTTTCGATTCTCATATTGGGGCCTTCGATAATTGTATATTGATCGAAATATGAGAAATTGACGCCATTTTGGTTCTAAAAAAATCCAAATTTTCAATGTGTCAGGACAATTCTTAGATAATCTGGAGTGATGTGTCAAAGTTTCGGACAGTTCGGTCTAATACCCTTAAAAAAAAGTGTTGTATTCGAATCGACTGATTTGAAGGGGATTTCACTTCACCTTAAATGGCAAAGCTCTCAAGTGCAAAGCGTTAACCGCTAAAAAATTGTTTAGGCTTTACCGTTTTAAAAGTTCATGGAAAAAATTGGCAACCTTATTTTCCGTACTGAATGTCTTTGTTACAATTGCTTCCGTTACAGGGTGCAATTGTAACACTCGTTGGAGCAAATGTTACGATACTTATTAATTGAAAAAATTGAATATTTAAGGATGAGAAGTAAAAGTTGACAAATACGTAATACGTAAAAGTACAATAGGATATTAATACAATATTACTACAATTTTACTTCAACATTACTACAATATTACTATTACTTTGGGATTCATCCGGAAATAAATATAAAATTTGGCAGACTTGTAATTGGAAATGTACAGGTTAAACGATAAATATGAGATTAATCTATTTTGTTATCATTCCGTTTGTGAATATTTTTGTGTACAAGGCATGTTCTTTTGTTCAAACGGTCTGCCGCAAATAAATTTTGTCGAATGTGTTTTTCGGCAATGTAAATGCAGAAGTCAACTTGACGTCATGTTTGTTTCATTGAACATCGGTTTCATTTCCCCCAATTTAATACAAACGAAAAATATTGGACTCATGGAAATGTTACTCAATTATGCCGTTTTACGAAAATTATCAATGATAACGGAACGCTTGGTCTAACAAACATGAAATTACTGTGAGACGTTCATTGCGCTATCGGAAAGCTTCCACTGTCTCGATTAGTTCTTCCAAGTTTAAGGTGAAGGGAAACACGTCGAGGAACTTGATCAACGTCGATAAAGAAGATTTTTATAAATGCCTAAGTTGCCGACGTTCGTTTTTATATTGACAGCTGTGTAGAATTATATTGGGTATTGTACCAAATGGCATACTCCACCTGTCGTTTTCGTACAATAATTATAAAGAAATCGAAGTAAAACTCTAGAAGTTCCTTGAATTCATGATTTTTGATGCCCTACTTGACTGCAGAGGGACCCCCTGCGCCATCTGTGATTTCCAGGTCAATTAAATTTGCACTCCGAGACCTCGTATTCTCATCGTTTTAGCATAGAAGCGCATACAACACTTTTTTTGCATTTATCTCGTTCAAATGCGAGTTTATCGATTACCAGAGTGTTCTAAATTGTCTTAAAAATGTCCTGACCCTTTCGATTCTCATATTGGGGCCTTCGATAATTGTATATTGATCGAAATATCAGAGCTCGACGCCATTTTGGTTCTGGTCTGGACTGAGTTAAAAAATTTGGTTAAAAAATCCAAATTTTGAATGCGTCAGGACAATTCTTAGATGATCAGGAGCGATGTGTCAAAGTTTCAGACAGTTTGAGCTAATACCCTTAAAAAAAAGTGTTGTATTCGAATCGACTGATTTGAAGGGGGTTTCACTTCACCTTAAAGATAAAATGTATAACGTTTGTTACAATTGCCTCATGTTACATTTGACCTCGGTCTCCCCTACAATCCAAAAACATGTCAAGGTATATAAAAACGTTGCTCTAAATGTCTCTTCAGGGACAGAAATAAATCAAAATATGTAGTACTTCTCCGCTGGCCGGAAGCGCGTGGCTAGCCCCCAAATAACTAATATAACCTACTCAGATTACTAACCTTGGTATGAATCTACTAAATAAATTATGGTTTTAAAAGACAAAGTACCCTGTTACCGAATTTCTGTCGCCCGATATTTTGCAACTAGTTATCTTGTTGCTTGGATATTTTGTCGTACGGGTGAATTTTCGTCGAGCATTTCGTTGCGCCTTTTTGTCGTCGGGGAATTCGTGATACCAAAGGTGAAGCCGCTGCCGCACTTGGCAGACTTCGATCAGAAGTATTTCTTAACGATTGTCGGATTTATTTTTACACGTCCGATTCAATTCTAAAGAGGAGGAAAGTGAAAAGGTAGTTTAGCCTGTGTTTTCTCTCTCTTACTTATGCTTTGAAAATGCATGATGCTATTCTGTACATCCCTGTAAATTTTTATGTTTTTAGTCGTTTGAATCGGCAATGCTCTGTACGTCATATTTATTTTTTATCTAACAAATGAAATGTGGCAAGTGTTCTACGATATCATTAAGGGGCAGGGTGGTTAAGAAGTCAGGTATTTTTTAAGAAACCTGAAAGAAGGCGAGTTTGTTGGGGTTTTATTAAAGAGTATTTAATAAAGGGGATTATTTAAAGAAATTAATTTCTACAAGAATTGAATTTTGTTACACACAATTATTGTTTAAAAGTATGTATGATTGTACATAGAGGAAAATAAATAATACAAAAATTTTAATTACTATGATTATTCGCACAAATTTGTGTAGTAGGTATATTGTGGTACGTAACTGAGATGTCTTCATCAAACCAGCAATTTTGTTATATTGGAAGAAAAGGAAAGTTTCTTGATGCCTTCGTTCTGAAAACGTTGTTAACGTATCATCCCATTTCCATCGAAGTACCGCTTCGGTCGAAGAAATTTAGACCAAATACATTCCTTCCTCAATTTACGCAGCACTTTTTTTACACAAGTCTCTTTTACGCGTTAAATTATAACACAATTTGCTTAGTTTTTATTCCGAATATTTTTTCTTTTGTACTGACAGACTTTACGCAACGCGATTTTCATTCGCCTAAAATGAATCTGCGTGAACGGATACTCAGCGTAAATTGAGTAACGGTTTTATATATATAGCAGGATTTCTTTTCGAAGAAAAACCCAGTGGGTTAAGGTGAAGTGAAACACGTCGAGGAACTTGATCAACGTCGATAAAGAAGATTATCCTAAATGCCTACGTTGCCGACGTTCGTTTTTATATTGATAGCTGGGTCGAATTATATTGTGTGTTGTACCAAATGGCATACTCCACCTGTCATTTTCGCCCAATAATTATCAAGAAATCGAAGTAAAACTCCAGAAACTGCAGACTGCAGAGGGACACCCTGCGCCATCTGTGATTTCCAGGTCAATTAAATTTTCACTCCGAGACCTCGTATTCCCATCGTTTTAGCAAAGAAGCGCATACAACACTTTTTGTGCCTTTATCCCGTTCAATTGCGAGTTTATCAATTACCAGAGTGTTCTAAATTGTCGTAAAATTGTCCTGACCCTTTCGATTCTCATATCAGAGCCTTCGATAATTGTATATTGATCCAAATATGAGAGCTCGACGTCATTTTGGTTCTGGTCTGGGTTGAGTTAAAAAGTTCTTTTGAAAATTCCAAATTTTGAATGTGTCAGGACAATTCTTAGATGATCAGGAGTGATGTGTCAAAGTTTCGGACAGTTTTGTCTAATACCCTTAAAAAAAAGTGTTGTATTGACTGATTTGAAGGATGTTTCACTTCACCTTAAATTAGGTTGGAGAAAAACATACGTTTTTACCCTCGCTCTCACTGTCGCCCTCGCAATTCCCCCCCCCCCCCTCTCTCTCTCTCTCGCTTTCTAGTACCTTTCCCTTTTCCTTTCGTCCTTTTTTTTTCTCTCACTCCCTCTTTACCTTTCTTAGCCTTCCTCGTCCTCCCTTGCCTTTCTTTGCTCCCTCTTGCCATATCTTACTCCCCCTCGCCCTTCCTCGCGTTCTCTCGCGCTCTCTCGCCATCTCTCGCTCCCTCTATCCCTCTGGTGCCTTTTCTCGCCCTTTCTTGCTCCCTTCACCCTCCTTCGCCCGCTATCCCTCCTCCGTTCTTTCTCGTCCTTTCTTGATCCCTCTCTCTGAATCTCTTCCGCTCTCTCTGGTCCGTGGTCGCCCTTTGTCACTCCCTGTCGCCTTTTCTCTCCTCTCACCCTCCTACGCCTTCCTTCGTCCTCTTTTCCTACCCTTTCTCACTCATTCTCACCCCCTATCGCCTCTTTTTGCCCTCTCTCGTCTACATCCGCCCACCTTTCCACCCCGCCACTGATCTATATACTAACTGGATAGCTGATACCTATTTGTTCTATACGGAGAGGGCTTCGGCAAATTCAAGGCACACCAGCGCTTAAATAAGTAACGTGTGCACATGTGCAAAAGTTTTGAATCATTAATGTGTCAATCGCGGCAATAACAAATGTTGAACTGTCAATTCGCGAAAGTGAACGTTTAAGATATAAAAGGACAGAAGAGATTTAATTTACGTGTAAAATGGGGTTATCTTTTTTCTCGTATTTTAATAAAAATGACAATTGCTTTCTTCCAGTAAATTAATTTGACATCTTTTATACTATCTGCGTTAAAGACGCGTTGTTTTGACGCATGCGCAAATACGATGATATTAGTTGACGTGACCTGCGACGTACTTCCTGTCCGCCGGATACAGCGGTGCACAAAAAGGGAACCGGGCTGGGAGGCTCGATCCGGTTGGTCTCCCAAGAGTAGCCATGTTCGATTCTCTTAAAAATCGGAATCCAAAGAATCGATTGAAAAAATTGGAAAAAGTGTTATATATGTGCCCATAATTATGAAAGTGGTCTAAGTCATATATTTTTTGTTTCGAAATTACATTGAATTAATTTCGTTTGAAATAATATGGCGTGAAATAACTGATAAATTAATTTTTTTTTTAATTTTGACTTAGACCACTTTCATAATTATGGGCACATATGTACCACATTAATAATATATGTTATACGTTTTATTTCCAAACATGTTATGAAATAAGTATATTGTTAACATTAGGCATAGTTGAGAATATCCATTTAAATATTTACCGTCGACATAAAAAGTTGAGTTATTATGGTTACGAACGCTGTACTTACGTTTCTGTCAGGGTTCTTATACTTTTCTACCTCAAGGAGTAAAATATCATTTGATGCCCGAAAGGGTGGTCTCGACGATCACTTCCCTTTTCCCCCTTCTTCGGGAAGGGACAGAGTCTTTGTAACTTAAACGTAAGAAATAGTAACGGCTCGTATAAGCAAACGAACAGTCTGTATCGTCTGCGAGAAGTTTAGCCACCTGACGGCGCTGTCGAAACTAATGGGGCCAAACCATTGTTTCTGCAATGACATAGGCAAGTTTAGAATAACCTCGCAGCGCGTATAACCTTACCATAATATGTGGGTACAGGTCCCAGATAAACCTTCCATTTTCCTGTGCGTATTGTACCTCTTAATGTAGTTAATATTACCATTCCAAATGGTGATCTCTCCTGCACCTTTTAGGCGCAGCGCCCTGGATACATTACCCATTCGCAAGGTTACATTTACCCATTTATATGGTTCTACATCCCATAGTATTTTACCCATGTCTCTACATTAATTGTAACCAAGTAATGTTTATCCGTGTACCGGGCAATTTTAAGAAAACCTAAAACATTCCTTTCGTTCTAAAATCCAGGCCAGTCCTTCAAACTCAACGCAAACGGAATCGCATTTCCAATTTTCCCGTAATTAAATCTTAAAAGGTACCCACATTCTCGGCTGGTCACGGAGGATCCTCAAGTGGGAGTGAGAGGTCCCGACGCGCTTCCCTTGAGTACGAGCGAGAGGTCCGAACCCGCATCCCTCGAGTCCAAGCGAGAGATCCCGACGCGCGCCTCTTAAGTGCGAGCGAAAGGTCCCGACGGGCATTCCTTGAGTGCGAGAAAGAGAGAAACCCGCTGGCGGTACCTGGGCACCGAAACGAGTTCGGCCAGCAGGGCAAAACAAACGAGTTAACGTCGCGGCCGCACGCTGTTTATTATTGGGTGGGCACACGTTAACCACGCCTTTGTGAAGCACGCCCACCAATGGAACACCCATTGCTCCCACCCCGGTTGGCGCCCTCCCCTCGAGCCCTCCCCGTCCCGAGGTTCCCCCACCACGTGCGTGCTCGCTTGCGGTGGGGTAGCAGTGACGTCACGCGTGCCGGCATGCAACAGGCGGCCTTTCGGCGGATCCGCGGAGCTGTTAGAACCGGTTCCGCGCTCCCCCCTTTCACCCCCCAATCCCTTCCCCGCTCACGGCCGGCCGGTCCAGCTGCTAGACGCGTCCGAGGTGAAAAGATGGCCGATTAGGACCGACTTGACGGACCTTTTTTTCTCCCCTGACTTTCCTCCACAACCCTTTTTAACGCCGCTCCACGCTATACCGTGAGTTACGTCCCTACCTAACGTTTTATTTTAAATAATGTTAGGAATAGAAACTCCGAGCAGCGCGTGCTCCGAAATGTTCCTAGGGACCCGCTCTTCTTCATTCCTTAGCTTAGACAAATACTAACCCTAAGACTCCCCTATGGTTTCCTTGGGTATATCTGCACCCCAAACCAGATAACAGCCTCTGGGAAAAGCAAATATTCAGATTCTCTGGAAAAGACGACTTTTTCACCTGTTTCCTCTTCAACCCATCCCTGACCAATCATGAGACATCCTTCTCGACCTTAAAAATCCACCAGGAAGCATCCTTCTTCATATCTAGGAACACTCCGGTTTGGTATAAAAAACCCGCTCCAAAGGGCTTTTGGCCTAAACTGTCGTGTAAGCTCTGTAACCTCAGTCGAGCTTTCTACTGTCAACCTGCGGACGAGGCACCTGTAACCCTGGGCGATTAGCCCTAAGTCGACGGGTCTACGGTTATTCTTGTAAACCACGAGGTATCTGAAATAAAGTATCTTGGTTACTTTACTCGACTAGGTCTTTGGCTGGTTTCAACCATCTGGAAGCGAGTCCCCAAAACGACCCACGAGACTCGGTCCGATCGATGTCCTCAGGCAACCGTTATCGCCACTACTGAGCAAACGTTCCCGGACCTAACACGTGCCGCCTCTGAGTGGGCGACGCAAAGTAGCGTGGAGGTATCCCTATCCTTGTGAAATTGTAGCGTATTGCATGCGCCGTTCACGTTGAATGTCTTACATTTGTCTCTCGGCACCTGTAAAGAGGCGAATGAAATTAATTGACAGTTGTAGTTTTGGATTTAGGAACTTTGGTATT